TGAACTGGGATCAAATCTGAAAAAATCGAATCTAGGCAACCCCCAAAACAAATCCTTTAAGGGGTTTTACCAGTTTAGCTCGAATAATGAAGATATACATATATATATGTACAGGGTGTTTCTTTTAACTTGAGACAGCTCAATATCTCGAGAAATACGCATTTCACGGAAAAATGTCTTAAATAAAAGGTTAATGTGACTAAAGGGGACATTATTTGGTGCTACCGCTAGCCACCCCCTACCCCTCCTTAAGGGTGAAACGGGGGGTAACTTTGGAAAGTCAAATGGAATGACCCGATTTTTTTCACAGAGTTTGGTAGTACATAGAAAAATAAATAACTTTTATTTAAAACTTTTTTCAATTTATCAACAGATTTAAGAAAAATGAGTTTCCTTGTAAAATGCATTATTTGAAACGTTTGAAAAACAAAAATTAACATTAACAACAATAGTCGGCTATGAAAACAATTTATAACAAATGTTCGAAATGTCGTCATTCCATTTCAACACATTTTTGAATGCGGGTAATGAATTCTGGCACACAACGCGCCAACATATCGGGCGGTATCGCCGCACAGGCGTTCCTGATCCGCTCCACCATGTCCTCCCAAGTTGTAGGAATTGCAGCGTAAACTTTTTCTTTCAAGTAACCCCACTGGAAGATGTCTGGTGGCGTAAGATCAGGTGATCGAGCAGGCCAAATTACTGGACCACGTCTACCGATCCACCGCGGTGCACCGGCCATTGAACTCCCGATCCAACACTTCTCGAGCAATTGTCGAATAATGTGCAGGACAACCATCTTGCTGGTACCACATGTTTTGGAGCCGTGCTTGTGGTACATCCTCCAAAAGGTCCGTCAGATCGTTTTCTAGAAAATTCCGGTACTTTTCGCCATTTAATGCACCGTCAATAAAGAAGGGTCCGATTAATCGTTCGCTTAAGGTACCGCACCAAACGTTTACCGACCAGGGACGCTGGTGCTCCACTTGGTGTCGAAATGGAAGGACGACATTTCGAACATTTGTTATAAATTGTTTTCAGAGCCGACTATTGTTGATTTAATGTTAATTTTTGTTTTTCAAACGTTTCAAATAATACATTTTACAAGGAAACCCCTTTTTCTTAAATTTTGAATTACAGCGCCATTTGTTGATAAATTGAAAAAAACTTTCAAATAAAAGTTATTCATTTTTTTATGTACTACCAAACTCTGTGAAAAAAATCGGGTCATTCCATTTGACTTTCCAAAGTTACCCCCCGTTTCACCCTTAAGGAGGGGTATGGGGTGGCTAGCGGTAGCACCAAATAATGTCCCCTTTGGTCACATTAACCTTTTATTTAAGATATTTTTCCGTGAAATGCGTATTTCTCGAGATATTGAGCTGTCTCAAGTTAAAAGAAACACCCTGTATATCTCCATTATTCGAGCTAAACTAGCAAAACCCCTTTAAAGATTAGTTTAGGGGGTTGCATAGATTCGATTTTTTCACATTTCATCCCAGTTCAAATTGTAAGGTCAAAATTTGTCGCACAGTGTAATAAGTTAGTTACAAATACCAGGTCTTTTCTAAGAGTGTAGTTACCGAAGCTTCTCTTAAGGTATGCGGGCCGCAGGGGGATGGGTACATTAGGGCAACACTCAAATCGAGAGAGGCAATTAACGAATTCAGCAGTTAGGCAGATTACAAAGTGACATTGGAAAGGTCGGAATAAATCGAATTAATGGTTGGATGGAGGGAAGGGTGTGGGTGGAACTCGAAGTGTAGCCACCTCCTCGTGGTGAGTTCTGGGTTGTTTAAATAATAAATTAAAATTAATTAAATTATTTCTAAGCAAGCAAAGAGCTGCACATTTGTATAATATACATATTATGTAAACTAAGGGAAAAAATTAAAAATTAGCATCTTTTGCAAATATTTAGACGCTTTGCGCGATCGGAAGATATGGTTTAAAAGTGGTGATATTTTTTCTGCAGGCAAGTCAATACCATTACTAACGTTTAAGCACCATACCGCTAAAAATACAAACCTCAAGTTAAAAAAATATATGCGAAAAACTGTCAAATTCGTATTTTTTGAAAACTTTCGGCGTTTTGCGCGATCGGAAGATGTTATCCGAATTTAATAATTTTTTTTGTTATGCGCGGTATAGCGAGTCGAAATTTCAACTTTAAAATTTTTCGATCCACCGTATTGTACAGTAGTGCTATATAAATAATTTATAGTTAAGTGATTAGTTAGTTTTATAGTTTCTTAGTGTTTGTAATTAAGTTATAAAATACATAGTTTAGTTCGTTAATAAACCAGTGCGTATTTTAATTTACACTGCGAACCGATAAAAACGTTACACTATAATGATATAGACAACTGAAACTTTTCCTTTAACAATCTAATTAAAAATAAAATTTCGTTATTTGGTATTTTCTTAGTTAACAGTTTTACAAACAAGGACCTAAAAGTAAGGCAAACTATAAATTTTATTAATTACAGGAAAACTTCGCAAAATTCAATAATTTAGATAGTTTAGAAAATTTATAATTTTTTACCTAGATTTAAGCAATAAATAAATAACAACCATTGACCATACACTATTAAAGAACGTTAAAATATTAAAAGAGTTAAATTTAAACAATGAAACTGTCGACAAAACTTAATGAAAAATAAATAGCGTGTGTGTTGGGATACAGTATTACAAACAAAATGAATACAATATAAAACACTAATTTTGAAATGGATTTTTTATACGCCGAACTTTTACCAACTATCGGATTTTGAGAATTACAAAAATTATACATAGGTTTTGATGTATAAAAAATAATTTTTACGGTTATTTTTGTAAAATTACAATCCTAATAGAAAATAATGTTTACCTATATTCAGACAATGTTGGAAATTTGTATAATTTGTTTAACTCATAATTTTGTTTGAGTTTATGATTTTATGTGGGAAATACGTAGTTAAAACGTTACATAAATCCCACGTATTTAATAACAAACAAAACTAACGTAGTAAAGTTATAAAACGGGACATTTCAACTTAAAATTATACAAAAACGAGGGAAAAACGTTTTTTTGCCAAATTTCTGCCAGGTACTTTTTATATTTGAGAAGCATCCGTGCAAAACCGGCTATATCCACTTTAATAAAATGTTGGAAAAATGGCAAAAACTCTCGGTTTCCTGGCCTTTACAGATAAAAGAAAAAGCAAACTTGAGTTTTGTGGGCTTTGTGGTACTTGATTTATAAGACATGCTTTCGTTTTCAAAAACTTTATATTAAGGCCAAAATTTCCAAAAATGTTGTTGGTTTTGCTCAAAAACCGAATAAAAAACGAATAAAATGTGACAAAAAACCTTTATTATTCAAAAATATTAACAAAATAAATTTAGTGCAAACATGAAAAAACAGAACAAATTTTAGTAGTAGTATCGACATATCCAAGCCACTTAGGTATTCCATATTTATTGGATATAGCCGGGTTTGCTATAAAAACGGGGATTTGGACGGTTTTGCTCCTAAAGCTACCTTTTAAATTTGATTTTAACATGGATATAGTCGTAAGTAATATCATAAGGGCATTTAATTTTTCCGAAAAGAATTGAAAAAACACGTTGCTAAGTAATATTTTAACAAAAAGCATGAGTGCTGGTGGCAACAAAAATCCGAGTCGAAGAGGAGGATTTTTGCACCTGCACGAATGCATTTTGTTCAAAAATATTACTTAGCATTGTGTTCTTTCGATTTTTTTCACAGGAAAATGCCCGAATGGTATTTGACAAGACTATTTCATGAGTAACAGTTAACAATTAAAATATAAATTTAAATTTTTGGTGACAACAGCTGTCAAGTTTTGCCGCGGGTAAACTCGAAAAAACTGCTGACAGGTGCTGTCACACAGTTTTTTCACCTAGAAAGCATTTGTAATTCAAAATTGCGCGTTTGTGATTGGTGTAAATTAAGACGAGGGAAATAGTCGTATTTAAACATAATTATCTTGGTTGTCGATAGAAAAAAAACAAAAACTGAATAAAATGGATTTAGCTGGTTTTGCACGGATGCTCCTCATTTTTAAAAATAAAAAGAATTAATAAACAAAAATATAATATCTAGAGGTAATATGAAAAAATCCTAAAAAACGAATTTTATTGAAAATGGGTTGCTTTGGAGAACTTGAATTGAATTGAATATATAAATTTGGCTTAGCACAAAATAGCTGTGATATGTTATGAAACTATATTTCCGAGTATATTTCACAGCATGGCAAATTTAAATATGCTTAACATTAGCCACAATGGAATTAATAATGTGAGTTTAAAAAATATATCACACCTTGGTTGTCAGAATTAAATTTAATCGAGAATAATTTTACTCGCAACACTTTGGTGTCCGCTTTGAAAGGACACGATTGAATTTGAGACTGTGGTGATATTTATTTAAAAATATTCGAGTTGCTTGTGCGTATTCCGAAGATTCAAAGAGGGATGCAAATTCATGGAGAAATATTTCAGATATAAACATGATGTCTCTTATTTAAACGTATTATGTTCACTATTTTGTTTAGTACTTTAGCAAATATTTAAATGTTAAAAATCAGTTTGCTTATGATATTCTGAGACCCCATCATTTGTATATCATTTTGAGGTCTTCCAATATCATAAGCTTACTGATTTTTAACATTCACATATTTGCTAAAGTACTAAACATAATGGCGGAAATAATAGGTACTATTCTTTACGTTTAAATAATAAGAGACATTAGGATTTGTATCTCAAATTTGCAAACTATGAATTTTACATAATATTTTGTCCAAAAAGCAATATTTTCATTATTTAACTAGTGTAACAATGGCTTACCTTGTTCATTCTTTTTGAGCGTATTATGTCTCAATTCGTCGTGATTGTGAGGCAAAAATATGTTTTAATATAAAATAGTTTTATTTAGGAATGAAGTATGTAATAAAATCATATTTAATTAATACTATAAAATTTATTTAATGAATGCAAAATATATATTTGAATATCTATATTAACTAATTGATAAAATTATTATAAAACTTACAACAGTAACTGTTTCAGATATTGTTAAAAAAAGATACATAATAAAAATGGGGATTAATGTCAAGTGCAACTTGATCATAATACAATTCATAAAGCTTTAAATTACATACAAAAAATGCTTATTACTTTTTACCATGGGTTTTGTGGGGGGTATCCAGGTTGTCCTGGTTGTTGTGGGTAGTTTCCTGGAGGAGGCTGTTGTGGATAACCACCCTGAGGAGGATATCCTTGAGGAAAGCCACCAGGATAATTATATGTGGCTGAAAAGTAGAAGTGCCATTAATAGTTTGGATAACGTGGTATCATGGAATTTGCAAATTTGCTTTCTATACAGCGTGTCAGTTAATAAGTTGTCATCCCTTTGGGGAATAATAGTTTTATTTCTATCACTTTTACATTAGTGCTACTGTTTTTGAATAACAAATCATAAAAATTTTATATGTTGGGCATTTGTTTGCCACGACAATGGATTTGTTTAAACCATGACCTACATAACGTGGTCGAAGTAGAGTCGGCCAGTTGTTTAACTGTGGTTCTTATCAGTAATGCTGTCGATGACTTTAACGGGCCAACTATACTTCGAGCGTCAACAACTGCTGTTGCTTTCGCAAACGAGACCAATGGCTGCCCATCATTTACCTAAGAATTACGTTAATTTTCATGATATTTGTATATAAAAACAGTAGCACCAATGCAAAAGTGATAGATGAAAATCTACTTTTTTGTGGTGAACTATTATCCCCCCAAGGGATGACAACTTTATTTCATGGTACCCTGTATAAAATGATTTCTCTTTGAAGCAATTAACCAATCAGATTTTTTCGTGTGTGCCCTAGTGCCCTAGTCATACATATTAAAACTATTGAAGTAGACAATGCATTTATTTAAGGGGTTACATACAGTTAGAATTTTCAAAAAATCGATTTTTTTTTTATTTTATTTTCTTAATGTACATATATTTAAGAATACACACAGAAAATTTCATATCGTTCCGGTGAATATTTTCAAAGTTACACGCAAATTTGAAAAGGCGTTTTAGAGTGCTTGGAAGTACAAGGCCGGAGCGGCAGCGACTACCCTTTTATGCACCTGCCTATTGTAAATGCTCCCTTCTAATGTATTTAGATGTGTAAATCAACAGGGTGTATTATATGGGCCTGGAATAGACGACTCCATGTAAGTTAAAAAAAAATAATTTTATCCCATGTAAACTGCATTCCAAACTTTAAACGCGTTTTTCTCAGAATGGTGTTTTCAAAGTCGGTGACCAACATTACTCAAAAACGGCTAAACCGATTAGTCTCAAATTTTAACACGAGCTTCTTAAATATATTTTTTAGTAATTAATCGAAGATTTTTTTTCTCCGATAAATATTTTTGTTTTTATAAACAATTTAAGGCCGAAATTTCGGTGAAAAATCGATTTTTTTTTTTGAGAAACCGCCATTTTGTCAAAAAATTTTATTTTGCTTATTCCTTCGATTAATTACTAGATTTAACATTACTTTAACGAAATCTGTTTGGTTTTTTAAATTCAGATGATCCAGTTCAGAGATATAGTGGTCACCGCAAAACGTCTTTTTTGAGAGGAGCTCCTGGAGATCAGCTGTAGCTCTTTTCCAAATAAATATTTTTACTAGTGCTAAGTCTTAAAATATAGTTAAAAGATACCATAATATGTGTATAAATTTTTGGATCAATAAATTTAAAAGTTTTCTCAGAAAAACTTTTGGAAAATTCACTTTTTTTCGGCCTTCTAACTGTATATAACCCCTTAAGAAGAACCGCTGTTTCCTTTGTTCCTCCCTTTTTAAACAGAATTATATACAGGGTGAGTCAGGAGGAACGGACCAAACTTCAGGAGTGTATTATACACATGAAAATAATGTAAAAAAACTCATATGTTCTTATCCGATTTTTATTTGTTTTCAAATTATAGCGTAAAACAAAAGTTCATACATTAACGTTATTTTAATCATAGCGTTCTTTTAATAAATGTTCGAAAATAAAGCAACCTCATATGAAAATAATGTAAACAAACTCATGTGTTCTTATCCGATTTTTATTTGTTTTCAAATTATAGCGTAAAACAAAAGTTCATACATTAACGTTATTTTAATCATAACGTTCTTTTAATAAATGTTCAAAAATAAAGCCATTGACCTCTAAACATTTTCTGCTTCGTCTACGAAGAGTGCCTGTTGCTCTCCTAATTGATTGACGTCTGTCTTCTTTAATAACGGCTGCAGTATTTTGAATACGTCGAATTAGAGCATCACGAGTGTCCACTTTTACTTTATAAACCTCATTTTTAAACCAGCCCCATAAACAATAGTCTAGTGGTGTGAGGTCTGGGGATCTTGGAGGCCAATTAATAGGACCACCGCGACCAATCCAACGCCCTGGAAATCTTTCGTCCAAATGTTGCTTAACCTGACGGGCGAAATGTGCAGGAGCTCCATCGTGCTGGTAGTACATTTGCATTCTGATGTTTGGAGTAACATCCTCTAGTAGTCCTTGTAACTCGTTTTGTAGAAAATTTACGTAGTTATCTCCTGTAAGGCGATTCTCCAAGATGAAAGGGCCAATTAAATAATTATCGAGCATACCACACCACACGTTTACAGAAAACTTATGTTGAAAATTACTTTCGACTGTTGCGTGGGGATTTTCGTCTGACCATACATGAGAGTTACGAGTATTATTAATACCGTCACGAGTAAATGTTGCTTCATCCGTAAAAAGTATATGAGATACAACACGATGATTATTATTTATCCACCGACAAAAGTCCATGCGTTTAGCATAATCTTCCGGTTGTAAGTGTTGTACTTTCTGTACATGGTATGGATGTAATCCTTGCTCGTGGAGGGTGTTTATTACTCTTTTTTGTTGGATGGCCAATTGGGTAGCAGTTCTTCGTGAGCTGGTCGTTTCATCTTCCTCTACTAAATCCAGAATATTTTCTACTTCTTCTAAACCTTGTCGAGTAGCTCGTTCAGAAGTTATGCTAGAACTAGGAAGCTTACCGGTCTCGCACAATTTTTTAAAAACTGTGATAAATACGTTTTTATTAGGATGTCTTTGATCTGGAAACCATTGACGATATTCTTTAACAGCAGCTGTAGCATTTCCATTACAGAAACCATAAACAAACACCATATTTGCATATTCTAAATTTGATTAAGTGTTTGGCATTTTGTTATCACACAATTTCGGAAATAAACGTTCAATCACTGTCACAATAAATTGACACACTATCAAAACAACAAAGTCATAAAATATTTTTGAGCCTCGAACATGGCATACTCTGATTATGCGAAAATGTACATAATAAGTAGAACGCTAGATAAACAGTTTTAATTACAGTTTTTTCAAATAAATATTTTTATATAAGGCTTTTTTTCGAATTATCGAACTTATTTTATTTTTACATAAACCTTTTTTTTATTTTCGTTATTTATGGCCGGATTTTAAAAGAATTAAGTTTCTTGCAATTTTTCATTTAATTTCAAAAATTTGTGTGTTAAACATTTAAAAAACGAACGAAAATAAAATTTTTTAAACATACTAAGTACTATACAATGTATTCCAAAAAGTATTAACTGGTGAATGTGGACAAAATTCCTAGGACACATCAATTTCTAGGGGGACGAATTTTAACGTACGCTTCACGCCCCCACCACAACCCTACGCGCTTGACCCCACCCGCCAGCAAAATCTTAAATTGGACGGGGGTTGAGTGACAGTTTTAAAGGTCTTAATAAGATTGTGTAATTTTTTTAAAAATCTGTCAGTTAGTTTACGAGAAATTGCTATGTATTTGAATTTTCAAATTAAGAGAAAAAAAATTGTAAATCAACGAATGTATTGCTTGATGTGATTCCCTCCAACTTCCATACAATAGTACTGACGTTGTTGAAAATGGCAACTGTAAAATGACAGGTGCCAAAATGTCATCTGTTATGTCATCTGTTAAAATGACAAGTGTCTGAATGACAGCGGTCAAAAACAGGTGCCAAAATGACAGCTGCCTGAATATCTTGTCAAAATGACAGATGTCGGTGCTGAAATAACAGGTGCCTAAATGATAGCTGTCAAAATAACATTGCCGAAAAAACATTGTCCGTTATTTTTTCTTAGAACCACTCGAGCAAAGCCGCGGGTATACAACTAGTAAATGAAACCTTTTTATTAATATTAATATCAGACGACAACCAGTTTTTACAAGGACAAACATGAAAATTTAATAGGCGAAGAAGAAGATATTCTGAATAGATGGAGACAACATTTTGAGGAATTACTAAATACGGAGTCTGAAGCTAATTTGAGTGAGGATACAGAAAAGGAAAATGTCGAATGTTTAACGCCTCCTACAAGGGAGGAGGTACATGAAATTTTAAATGAGATGAAAAACAATAAATGGAAAAGTAGCACAAAATCTAAAGTATGGAGGGTGGATGTTAAGGGAAGAGCTGTATAATTTGATAAAAGTAGTATGGAAACAGGAAAACATGCCGAAAGAATGGAGTATAGCCAACATTATCCCTATCCATAAAAAAGGACATAAATCTATATACAGTAATTACAGAGGAATATCAATACTCGATGTTACTTACAAAGTGTTATCTAGTGCAATAAAGCAAAAGCCCATACCTTATGCAGAGAAAATTCTGGGGAAATATCAAGGTGGTTTTAGAAAAAATAGAGGCACAAATGACCAAATTTTTGGAGATATGGGAAAGAAAAATTCTACGCAGAATATTTGGAGGAAAAAAGTCGAAGGGGGTGGATAAGGCGAACAAACGCAGAAATTTATGACATTTATGACCCATAATAACTGAAGTGACTAAATCAAGAAGGATGCAATGGCTAGGGCACTTGGAATGAATGGATAACCATAGGCTAGTCAAAGGTATTGGAAGCAAAGAAGAAAAGGACAGAAAAAAGTGGAATATATATATATAGTGTTGGCCAGAATATATATATATATAGTGTTGGCCATAATTTTTGCAACCACTGTAAAAAAAATCGATTCAAAGTCGTCAAAAATGACCACTTTTCAGCAAAATAATCTTAAAGGGGCCATTTTTACCGACTTTGAAGCGCTGTATCTTCGTTACTGTTCGTTTAATTTGTACAAAATTTTCAGGGTATACTAACAAAAATACGTTCTTTAACAGCATATGTTTTATTAACTAATTACCCTAAAAGTTATTTTTCGAGCGTTTTTTTATTTTTCTGATAAACTCATTTTATTTTATTGCACCGACTCTTGTTGGCATTTCGCGCCTATAAATGAAATCTATTAAAAAAAACATACCTGGGTACGGCACTGTCCCATATGGGTTGTATCCTTGAGGCATGGGCGGTGGAACGTACGATGGGTATGGCGTATTCGAAGATGCTCCATAAGGCACCGGCATACCTTGAACGTAAACAGGATATGGTAGGTTGGAGGGAACTTGCGACGGGGGTGCTGAACCTGGTGTTGGAGTTGGAGCACTTGAGGGGGCACTTGAGGGAGTAGATCGTCCATCGGAACCTACACCAAACAGTTTTAGTTTAGTTTTTGGTTGTCAGTTTCTAGTTAAATTATACCTGAATAGTAAGATGGTGTGGGTGGAGTAGGGGTTGGTGTGGACCTGCTGCTCTGTTGCGTAATATCCTTTAAAAGTTCTTCCTTTTCTTTTTTTCGTGCGAAAGAAAAGTCGGAAACTTTGTTTTGGAATGTTACCAAAAGCTAAAATGGTAAAAATCATAAATAAATAAAGTGGGATAAACAAAAATGTTTAATGTTCACCTGTGTTAGGTCGTTATAAAACTTGGTACCCTCCTTCAAGTTATTTTGTAAATCCCTAAAAGCGTCGTGTGCAGACGCCAACTGACACATCATTGTTTCTCTGCCTCCATTGGTGGAGCCACCTTCTTGAGTAAACTGAGAATGTGCTTGCTATAACAAAATATTAATAATTAAAGATGGCTTTAGAAAGTGTTATAAAATTGGAAGTTTTTTAATTTTAGTAAAAAAAATTCGAAATTTGAAAGAATAAACTCACCCATTAAAATTAATGTTTTAACTATTTAAGTATTATTTCTCTGGCGTTAAAACTAAATTGATGGGTTCTACTGTTATTGCTAAACTAATAAATTAAATTGTCAAACACAAATATCGAAGTATTTGGTAAAAATAATTAAACAAATAATTACTTTGGTGACAAAAAATATATATATTTTAATTTATTATCATTTATTTATTTACATACATCATCTAACAGTCATTAGACCAATTACAAGATGAGAAATGTTAATGCCTACTATTTACATACTTAGGTAAGAGAGAAAAAAAATATATAAGGTTAATAGAAAAAGAAAAGTACATCTATCATATTTACAATATCACCTATGGCAAAACAAGTTCAAAATATGAATAAAAAAGTGCTTATGATCACAATCCACACAACAAGGTCTGTTCGATCTCCTAGTAAAAATACTAAAAATCAGGGTAACACTGCACATCATACGATGGCGGCCATTTTTGTTGTTTACAATTCTTGTGCTTGTACAGATTAATAATCGTTTTAAACGTTGTTCTTACAGAGAGACTTGCAAGCCTTAAAAGAGACCTCAAAGTGGTAAGAACAATCATTTTACTCCTCTTTTGCAAAAAATAAACCTTATTCTATCAAATGTCAACTTGAAGGTTAATTTGTGGGTTATAAATTAACCTTCAAATTGACATTTGACAGCCCTACAGACCCACACAGTCGACTGCTGTTTACTTTCAGGTTTATACGCTTAGATCCATGATTCGTCACCTGTTACAATGTCATGAACATGTTTTGAAGCACCGCCATCTTTTTTTTTAAGCATTTCTTTTGACCACTAGACACGAGCCTTTTTTTGATCGATTGTCAAATTATGTGGGATCCAACGGTAACAATTTTTTCTGACGGCCAAATGTTCATTTAATATTGAATGTATGCTGGTCCCACTAATGCCCAAGGATGACCAAATCTCACGATATGTCACATGACGATCTTGCAGTACCAGTTCACGCACAGCATCAATGTTTTTTACGAGAACGACTGATTTTGGACGACCTTCACAAAATTCGTCGGTGAGCGAACCACGGCCACGATTGAATTCGGAACACCACCGATATTCACTTGTTTTTTATGGCACTTTGTCGCCAAAAGTCAAATTAATAGTCCGGGAGGCAGTGAAGATTTTCGGTACTTATTTTCCCAGTTTGTGAATGTCATTAAGTTTGTTCAAATGGTGACACAAAACGACAATTTGGGTGTCTGGCTGAAATTTTCGGATGGGTTCACTAGATGAGCCAAAAAGTCAAGTCCACTTATTTTCCCAGTCATAAATATTTCACATTAATTAAAGTGAGTCATTTTATTAATGGAAATAACAGTCTGGCACATCCCAAGTGAAGGAAAGTCAGCCTGGCTGAAAATTTGCGGAAGCAAAAATTTGACCGGTTTTTCAAATACGTAGCCCTTATTTTCCCATGCTTAAAATTTAACCCATTATTTGGTACTGTCATAAACTATAATCAAAATTAAGTCTGGCTGATTTATGAAATTGGCAAATTGTTCTGGCGGCATCTTGAAAATCGTAAGAATTACAAAAAATTTGCTCTTATTTTCGCGGATTTGAAAATTTGTCACATGATAAATAATACTATAATTTCGTAGAAAATACACGTCTGGCTGTTATTTACAATCACGAAAGCCCCGCCAGACTGCGAAAATAAGGGCTATGATTTTGATAATTTTTCCATCTGCCAGACATATTACCCATACTCACAGTTTAGCCAGACTATTTTTTTTTCATAAGTTCAGTATATCTCTCACTAATGGAATTATTTTTATCACTGGAAAAAAAAGTGCAATATATTTTTACTTTATAACGCAATTTCCGCCTTAACCCATCCGAAAACCCCCGCCTAAATATATATAAATTTTGCTCAGAATAACAAACCCAATAATTGTATCGGTGTTTGCCGACTGGGAAAATAAGTACCGAAAATCTTCACTGCCTCCCGGTTGGACGAGTCTGGCAAGGCTTTCGGAGTGTTCCACATTAGCCAGACTATATTTGCAGCTGTAATTATAATATAAACTATCATCTCACAAAATTTTTAGGACTGCGAAAATAAGGGCAATGGTTTTGATAATTTTTCCACCTGCCAGACATATTACCCATACTCACAGATTAGCCAGACTATTTTTTTTCTTAAGTTCACTATATCTCTCACTAATGGAATTATTTTTATCACTGGAAAAAAAAGTGCAATATATTTGTACTTTATAACGCATTTTCCGCCTTAACCCATCGGAAAACCCCCCCCTAAATATATATAAATTTTGCTCAGAATAACAAACCCAATAATTGTATCGGTGTTTGCCGACTGGGAAAATAAGTACCGAAAATCTTCACTGCCTCCCGGACTATAAGTTCATCGATGCATTATTGTTGGGATAATCCACGTTTAAAGTTATAAAAATTATAGCTCGAAAATGTTCACGGGTCAATTCCATTTTTTTTTGGCCGGCATTAATTTTTCAAGTGACTGTTAATGATACTAATAGCGCCCGCACGTCAAAACGTTTTAAGTAAGAACACCGTCTAAAAGGTCGAACTTAACGATACAGACATCTGTTGTACGATAGCATCAGCAGGTTCGGCCATTCCCGAAATATAAAAGGCAACCCTCGTATTAGCATGTTTTCATAATAACCTTGCATATTTCAAGCATTTTTCATGCATATTTTAGCGTTATTATGTTGCATATATTCCAATATGTTGTAGGTTTATAATTACTAATTATTAGCTTAGTCTAAAATTTGGACTCTAAATTAAATTACTCAGATTAGATTTGGAAATCAAAACGTAGAGGTTTTAAGATATTTCCAAAAAAAACTTAATGATTTATTTTTGTGTAGCTGGATTTTATGCATTGTATTTTATTCTCAATTTTTTAAGGAGTTATGCACAATAATTCTGTAAAAAATTCAAATCGATTCCTTAAATAGTTTTAAAGGTATCCAACAATAACTGTACCTTTTACGCGTTTATCTCAAAACTACGAATATTCTAATAATAATAAAATACTTTTTACTACTCCTATTGCCTATTATTGACATTATTTGGGTTTTTTTTCGTAAATAATGGTAACCAATATAACCGCCCGGCCTAACAACGTGAATAATGAGTTCAATATTCACGTTGTTAGGCATCAGTGATTGGCTGATTTCAATATTCACTGTTATTTCAACCAATCGGGTTTTAAATTGGAAAAAAGTAAGGTTAACAGATGTCAGATTTGTTTATATATACGAGGGGCGACTATAATAATCTTTAAAATCGGAAAAAAATTATTATTAATTATTACTTCATTGTAGTAGAAAAAGCATAATATTAGTAATATTACAGACTGTATAGAATCAAGTAAGTAAGGCTGGAGACAAGGATGACAAATTATATTCTGATCAGAGAAAAAGAAACAAACTTTAATTGGGCGTCGTTTAGACCAAGCCATTCGTAATTACGAACCATAGTTGCCAGGTTGTTTTAAATCAGAAGAGAACGATTATAATTATTTAATAAATAGTTCAATTTTATTTGTTTGAAACTTTAAAAATAACAAAAAAATTAACAGGGTTCCCAGCATTGTTTTGTACTTTTTTATGATTTTATGACAAATTTTTCAAATTTTATGACACTTTTTATGACAAGAATTTATTATTTCTTAAGTTATTTAATAAAATAAATGTAATTTTTTAACGGTTTATTATATAAAAATAATAGTATATTACACTACAAGGGCAGAAAGTGTGAGATTCCTGCACTGCGCGCCATGATGCCCGAGGCGAAGCGAAAATTACATTTTCTTACTACCTCGGCCGAAAATACGTATAGCTTGACCAATGCATCAAACGTAAACTTTCTGCCGTGGAATCGGGGACGAAACAACGTATTTTGAGTCGAGGTCGTAAGAAAATATTTTTTCTCGCATCAAAATAAATATTTCTGCTATAATATTTTTAATATATGTTACTTTAGTATTTTATTATAATAGGTATTATAATCTCAAAATAAATAAAACCACAAAGGTATACAAATCTGAAAACAATGATTAACATGGGTATCAAAAAAGCAAAAAAAAATAGTATATATACCTATAGGTACTATTTTTTTTTCTTTTTTTAGACCCTTGTTAATCATTGTTTGAGCCTCCAATATTACAAATTTTTTTAAGAGTAGTTATGTAGTTATTCTTAAGGTACTTCGATAATTTCTTATTTCCTTTAGAAATAATATTTTTCTACTCCTATTACGGAATTTGACCCTTCTAATATAACTTTTATCTATGGAATTACATATATTCCGTAAAGTGTTACAGAATGAAATATTCTATCATCTGATGACAGAATAAACACTCGTGGCGACATCTCTGTTTATAATATCTAACAAATTTTAGACCGATCCAACCTCACTTTCTTCCAATTAAATTATTTTTCTATGGTATTTTTTGGAAACGTAGAAAAAGTATAGTAGTATAAAAATAAATTTACCTTTCTCATTATTTATTTCAAATTTAAAATTCATTTCCTAACCAAACTTCTTTTTCCTTCATAGCATGAAGTTCATACGTCAACAACCAAGGCCATATTTAAAACATTTTATTGCGTTTTATTCTACAGGACCGGCTTTAAATTTTATTTTACAAAATTTCCATTTTATAAAAAAGATCAAAGCTGATAAATAATTTGATTTAGTTAATTTACTTACTTTTAATATTAAAAAATAAGAAAAACAACCCTTTTAGGAAACAATAATAGCATATGACAACAGCGCGGCATGCAGCCAGATGCAAGGGCATGCAGTTTGATCTACTGTGTTTGTTCTAGAGCCGTTCGATACAGAAGCCGTATC